AGTCGTCATGTTGTAAAATCACTCTATATCAAGAAGATTCTATAATACAAATACAACAATATACAGTTTACCTTGTTACCAACTTTAGCTCAGTTCCTTTTTCAGTCATTTTCCAATTCCTCACATCGCCGATCTCATATTAAATATATTTATACATGTCCATGGCCCTCTTGACCTGCCATGACCTTTGTTGTTTGAAGACTTTCATTTGCATAAATATCCTTTTGAAACATCGTTTCGGAACAGAATTTGTTTGGAAATCTTACGGGAATCATCACAGGTCTGGTATTTAATAACAAAATTTGAAAAATACGACAAGCTTGCATGAATTCAAAGAAATCACACTCTATCGGATTGTCATTTTGATAATGATGTTGTTGTTACTAACAAAACCGCTAACCAACTTAATCGCAGACGGTTACATATTTAGAAATGAAAGTGAAAGTAACAAATCACAAAAATTGTTTGGGTGGAATCTTAAATATTAATTCATAGCATTTTTATTTGTTATCGTCTGATCTTTTATTACAATGGAATGCAAATGTTTATTTGAGACTAGAGGGGAGTCAATCTGTAGTGAATCTGTTGTCAAACTGACTAAAGTCTCTGAATGCAAGAAAAATTATGGATGATCAATTGCAAACGTGGAATCTAAGTCATCTTAAAGGAAAAATTGAAGAGTATGAGCTGATTCTCAACAGGTCGGGATTACAAAAAACGTGAAGACTCAAATTCTAAGTTTATACGCATATCAATATCCAGTAAAGACGCTTCAGAAAATTCACGAGCCGTACGCCAAGTTAACCGAGTGGCAAATCAAGCGCGCTAGAGCCCATGCAAGAGAATGTGGTCCCGGGTCTTTGAATCTCAAGGGTTCTATGGTCATCCTGAGAAGCGCGAAATCAAGCATCGCCCAGAAGAATGCAAGAAAAAGGAAAATCAAGCGCAATTGTTCGAATGCTCTGTACATGGGTGCCTTGAAGCCTTCGATACCTTTGAGCAACTTGAGTTTCACCTGGATGTCGGCCAGAAAATTTCAGCAAGCTGAAGCAGTTTGACGCAATCAGAAGGGATTGGGCACTAAAATTTGCATCTGTAGATATTAGGTATTCCAAGACATGCTAGTCAAATTTTACGAAGCTGCAAACCTCTGAGGTCCAAGATCAGATGACAATGTTAGTTGATAGAGCTTGAGTTAGTTGGGTAGAATTATTTTGTGGTTAAATGCGGAACAAAAAAGTTTGTTATTTTCCGCTGATAGGTAAAGGTTCCCACAAAATGCGTAAATCGTTTAATTATTCCACATCTACACTTAGCACGTCTTAGCAGTAAATGCGCAAATTGCGGCGAGTGTGGTCATGATGCTATATCCTTTGCATAAAATGCTACGTTCTAGCGTTTTTCGTATTCCGGTGTTTTTTTGCATAAAAGTTGCCGAACTTTCAGTTTGCATCAGTTTTTAATGTTTTGAGTAGGCTACTTCGTATCTGTGATACAGTGATAGCTCGCTTTCGAAACATGTATTGTCCAGTGTATGGTTGCAATAGCGACAGCCAAAAAGTTACAAGTCCAGCAACACATTTCTTCTCCTTTCCATCTGGAAAATTTGCAGACCAACAGCATAGAAGAAAATTATGGATAGAGTTTTGTAAACGAGAGGCATTTAAACCATCATCGTGCACTAGAATATGTTCTCGGCATTTTGCAGAAGAGACATATTGAACGCTTGGGGTACAAAGAAAAATTTATAGTCTGCTTGAAAAAGGATGCGTTACCAACATTACATAAAGCGTTAGAAAATCCAACCATGACCAGTAGTAGGACAAGGGATTTCACTGTAAGAAGACAACGAAAAAAGGTATGTTATTTTAATGTTCATGTTGGAAAATTCAAAATTGCTTTGTGTCAGTGTCAATAGCTGCAAAGTTGCTTATTTTCAAGTGAATATTATTTTTAAAGAGCGTTGCGGATCTTATAAAGTCTGAAGAGAAAGTGAGTCCTGAAGAAGATTCTGGAGAAATAGTTGAATATATATATATATATATATATATATATATATATATATATATATATATATATATATATGTGTGTGTGTGTTTCCCCCCCTTTACCCCCCAATCAATGTTGATATGTTTTCAAGTTGCCTTTGCTTGCTAAACCCAACATTGCCAAGGGGATGGGGGGAGAATATCGCATGAAACAAGTAAGTTATTTTGGAATGAAATGAAAATTGTACTTTACCAACAGTGTTATTAACAGGTTTTGTCCATATTGTCTGAGAATTGTTACGCAAGCAAAGGCATGTTAATACTGAGCGTTTTGATGTTTTACATGAATATATTTGTACCAGTGCTACAAGATAAGGCAAAGATACATTTTACCGGTAACATAAATTGTTTGACAAAGTTATTCGAGATTGGTACGGAAATATGGGTTTTACATTACACGCGAGTGTCAGTTTCAACGGCGTATAATTCGCTGTAGCCATTCAATTCGAAAGCAATATAATGGCACAGGAAAAGGCTATATGCTTGATTCAACAATTGACGAGGATGTTTGTTTAGAAAACACTATTTCAGTCAGCAACCAATTTAAATTGACTGCAGAGCTAAACAGGAGAAGCATTCGGCGGGTGTATCTGATTACTTATAGCCAGGCTGGCCTAAGTAGATTTCCCACACGGCGATCGTTTGCTGATGCAGTTATTGCTTCTTTTAATGGTGTAATTCAGCAGTGGTGTTGTAGTCGAGAAGAACACAAGTCGTCTGGCAGTAAGCATTACCACATGGCTGCAAAGTTCAATAAGAATCAATGGTGGCTGTCAAGTAAGAGGTACTTGACCAAGAATTATGGTATATCAATGCATTATTCTGCTGCCCATAATAACTATTACAGTGCCTGGAAGTAAACAACTAAAGAGGACGGAGATGATGTAGCGGAGTGAAGTGAAGACTGCGCGATGTAGCGGAGTAAGTATGTAGCGGAGTTTATAGTTAATCGGGGCCCAAACATTGTTGCAGATGTTTTGGATGCGGCATGGGAAATGGAAGGTGCAAAAGATGCAAAGACTCGAGGGGAGAAATTGCAAATGCAATTATTGAATGAGGCTCAGGAAGGAAATTGAGTAGACGACTGCCACAGACTTTGGCTACAATTAGTAAAGGAAGTGCTTGAGAATAATGGGATTATACTTAGGGCATTTCAACAAGCCGTGATAGATCTTCTGACAAAAGGACGGGGGAAGTACCGTAATATTATGATTATTGGGCCAGCCAACTGCGGGAAAACTTTTATTCTTGAAGCTATCACAAAAATTTTCAAGACATTTTCAAACCCAGCATCAAGTACGTTTGCTTGGGTTGAAGCAGATAAAGTGGAGTGCCTTTTCTTAAATTATTTCCGATGGTCGCAAGCTATTATCCCATGGCACGATCTATTGCTCTTACTAGAAAGGCAATTAGTCCATTTACCTGCTCCGAAGACTCACTATGTTTTGCTAGTGATACGCCAGTTTTCGCAACTGGCAAAAACCCCATATGTTATGTTAAGAATGGGTGCATTGATGATCGCGAGACCGAGATGATGGCTGTTCGTTGGAAAATATTCCGCTTCAACCATCAAATTAGTGAGGCACAACAAAAGGATATTGAACCATGTCCCAAATGCTTTGCTGATCTTGTACTGTGCAAATAACATTCAGTTTTTAATTCATAATAGATGTGTAACATATCTGCTCGAATAGGGCAGCATGACGTAAGTATAGCAGCATTTTGTAACTCAAGCCTATGTACACTGGCGGTCAAAAAAAACTGCTCAAAACAAGTTAAAATGCTCTCAAATGAACGTAACTGTCCCTCTAACAATATATACGAGTAAATATAGACTAGATTACATGCTAAGCTATGTGAATATTAGTATTTGGTTGACCGTCCTTTGGCCTTATAATTGATGATGGCCTTACACCGGCATGGCATACTTTCTGTTAAGGTGGTAATCTTAATGGTTAAAAGAAATTCATCCATGGACAGTCTTTACAGCAACGCATAAATCATGGACACTTTATGAATTATTTCCTTTCTTGCACTATCCCTTTCACATTGTCCCACAGATGTTCAATAAGGTTAAGGCTTTTTCACTGTGCAGTCCAATCCATTTCTGCCACTCCTTCCTGAAACCATTGTTTGACTATATCTTGGAAGTGTGAGAGGTTGCATTACATTATTGAAATATTGCTTGGAATAAGAGAATTATTTAAAATGCCTATGAAGCTCTCTCGTATATTCACTTCTTTCTTATGAATTTGTATTTGAACAATTCTTTTTGACCGCTAGTGTACATAAAAGATTGATTGTTACGATTCCTGTACGACTTAACGATAATAGCAACATTTGAGCAGTTCTTTTTGACCGCCAGTGTGTATGCCTGGTTAACCATCACGGTTAATCACTCTTAAAGCAGTATTAAAGCCTAACAATAATGCCCAATTTTTTTCTTGTTTTCAATAATTGTCGTATCGTCCATAGTAAAAAACCATATGAGGCAAGATAGGGGACTTTGCGCGTTGCGTTAATTCAGTATAGAGAAATTGCGACGGTTAACCACCAGTATAGAGAAAAGATTATACTTAGTCTCTTTAGCTGCATTGTGGTTGACCGTATTTAAACGTCAGAAATTGGCTGCTTTTGATTTTTCACGTTTTGCAATGCATGGTATACCCTGTTAGCAGTACACAACATCGCTTTTGGAAATGAAAATGTTAAGATAACCTGCAGTTAAAGGCGAATGCCAAAGCCCTTGTTGTATTTCACATATCATACTTGAAAGATAACAATCTTTAAAAAAACTCAATATTTGATTATGTTTCCTCTCTTATTTACAATCATCCCCATGCGGTTACTCATACTCTCTATAATCTTGTCAATTACACTTTTATCAAAATTGATTATTGTGGATTTGACTCGTGTGGAAAATTCTTCAAATGTTTCCTTCTTTATATTTCCTTAGATTGCGTTGTCGTTCAGTTGCCATTTTATGAGGTGGAATAAATTCTCGATAGGGTTTATATCAGGGCTATGTGGAGGTATTGCAAGTAATTTTGCTCCTACTGATTTCATTGCCATTTTCGCTGCTGCACTATTTTGACTTGGATCCCCATCTTGCAACCAAAGACGTGATCGACCCTTCTTTGCGTTTCTAAACATTTTCCTAAATTTCCTCAACACCAGATTTTTAAAATACGTTCCGTCTAGCTTATCATATTGGTCACAGAGGACAACACCTGTTTCGTGGCTTATTGCAACCATCATTTTGACAAGCCTTCCACCAGATCCTTCTTGGCTGCCCTTTGCTGTACACCCTCTATTTAGGCCTTCATTCGCTCTTCTCCAGATGTGCCCTTTGGGTGCCTTGGCCTCATGTGCCGGATTCGTTTTGTGTGTAAAACTAACTCCGTCCAAATAGAAAGCTATTTTCTTTTCCCAAACGTCACTTCCAAACTTGTTTAGCATCCTTTTAGCAAATTTATAGCGCCTTTTAATATCCTTCTTGCTTAACACACCCTTTTTACGTGCTTGCAAATAGTGGTATCCATTCTCATTTAAAAAGCGTTGCACTGTACGTGAGCAAATGTATTTAGGGCTAATTCCTGAACTAAGAAATAAATTTTTTAGATGTAAAATTGCTATTTTTTTCCCTCAAAATGTTGATATTGCAAAGTATACATCGCTTTTGCCTCAGAGACAGTTTTTCTGGCCGACTGCCAAACTTCCTGTCGCCAGCCGTTTTCTTGTTATCTCTCGAAAATTTCTCATTCCAAATTCGATAAACGCTTGGAATAGATACTTTACATTCATTTGCTACTTCCTTGGCCGTATAAGTAGTAGTCTCTCCCAATAGTTTTATGTATGCCCTTTTTTCTGCAGAAAACTTTCCAGTAAACACCATATTGAATGAACTTTCCAATGTAATATCCGTTTTTTCTATGACGTCATTAATTATATAATTTACATGTAATTGGTAATAGAATTTGCGGCTACAATAATGTTATAATGACATAGAGCGGCCATAAAGGTCTTCAAAACATATTTTATAAAGAGTCAAAATCCACATAATCCTGGACAAAACGGTTAATAAAAGTATTCAAAATCTTAAAAAAATGTTTTGGTGCAACTTGAAGCAAGTGTTTCCCCCCCTTTACCCCCCAATCAATGTTGGATATCTTTTCAAGTTGCCTTTGCTTGCTAAACCCAACATTGCCAAGGGAATGGGGGGAGAATATCGCATGAAACAAGTAAGTTAATCGGAATGAAATAAAAATTGTACTTTACCAACAGTGTTATTAACAGGTTTTGTCCATGATTGTAGCATTTCAATTGTACATACATTAAATCGAGAAACAGATGAGAAGTAATACAACAAGTCGAGGTATTTTCCTCTAAACTGTCAACATCCCAGCATGGGAAAATATACTCATCCAAGAACTTGTTTAAGACACCCAGCTAGCACACAATGTTATCCGAACATTGGCCAAAGGTTGTATTTTCGTTAAGTCATGACTAAACCTTGACAAGTTTTTCATTGTATCAACGTTATATTATCACGTTGTGACGACGTTGGTTAAGGGTGACAGTTACGTTGTATCAAGGTTACATCATCACGTTGTGGTAACCTTTGTTGAAAGTTGAGATATATGTTGCAGCAAAGTTACATTTCCATGTTGTGACAACGTTGGTTGAAAGTTGATATTAATTTCAGTTTAAATTGAAGTAACTATGATTGGGGCTTATTTATATATGGTTCAATTTATCATTGAAATCGCTGCACGCCATACATTCGTTCGTCCGATAAGTGACTAATGCGCTAAAACAAGTGAATATAATGATCGAGGTTAAAAAACTCCTGTATACGGGGAACTCCTGCGCACAGGCTCATAAATCGATAACCATACACCAATATGTTGCATTTAACATTACCTTCGCTTTATAGGTATATTGGTTATTGCCAAATGGCCGAAATGATATTAATGATATATTATATTAGATGACAGAAACTTTATTTGTTTCATGACATATAGAATTATTCCAAATTTATTTTTACTTCAATACCGAAATGTATGTCGGTATATTTCAATACCATATATGGTTAGCATGAAATTCGGGTTGATGAAATTTGTAGGCTCATATCGCTTTAATCACTTAAACATATGTGCATTCTTTACTGTTGGAATTTACTGAAAGTTTCTTCAGAATTCGAAATATTCGTAAACATGTCAGAAAGGTAAGAAGACATTCATAGTTGTTTTTTTATTCACAAATTATGTCATCTTATTCTTTCATCTCCCATGAGGTGAAAGGGTGTATAATAGCAGTATTATGCTAAGTTTATTTTTGAAACAATTATGTATGAAAAGACTAAATTGGACGAAGGAAGCAAAGGTGACTTTCATCTGATTGGTCGATTCTCGAACTAGTTTCCAGGTTTATTTCTAGCATTTTCTGTGTGCCACTATATTTACTTTGTTTTGATAAACATGATTCTGTTGATTGTAAATTTGCAAGTATGATTTACGGAAAAGGTTATTTAAAGTTTACAGTAACCTTTCTTCATAACATTTTGTTTTGATCTTGTTACTTCGATTGTCCTGAACGGCTTACAATCTGCCTTTTTACTGCAACCAAACGTCGGCACGCGTGCGAGGAGGGAATTTGATGATGACTTATGATGGCATATAAAAGTTTGACACAAATTTTTCTTGGTACAAGATGAAGATTGCCTGTTTTTTCTATGTTGTCACTTGGATTGGTTGCCACTACGTTTCTGTGCCAAGAAGTAGCTCGAAAGATATTAATCCTGTTAAAGTGCCTATATCAACCTCAGGGAAATAACCCACTTAGATAGATTAGACAATTTTAAGAACATTTGAAATATATTTGATAAGTCGAAAATTTTATCTTCATGTACTTTTCGGGCCTCAAAGTTGGCTTTTTTCGTGTTTGATCGTGAGGTGCTGTAAGTGGGAACTAGTTGCCCTTTTTCACGGGAAGTGATGTACATTGGAGAACACGCTAATTTTGTAAACAAGAAACACGTCATATACTACACGATTTCGTAGTTTATTGCCACAATATTTCTATATTTTAAAGCGTGTTTCTTGTTTACAAAATTAGCGTGTTCTCCAATGTACGTCACTTCAGGTGAAAAAGGGCAACTAGTTCCCACTCACAGCACCTCACAGTTAACACGAAAAAAGCTAACTTTGAGGCCCGAAGAGTACATGAAGATCAAATTTTCGACTTATCAAATATATTGCAAATGTTCTTAAAATCGTCTAATCTATTTAAGTAGGTTATTTCCCTGAGGTTGATATAGGCACTTTAAGTGAGAGGCGATCTAGCATGTCCTGTCACTACATATTCCAAGGAGGCTAGTTTCAAGTCGTCTGTTTTGAATTTCCAAGTATATCGAAAGGGTTTGTCTTCTAGAGCTAACTGATGATGGTTGTTAAACATTGATAAATGCATTGGTAAGTTTCAGTTTTTTCTGTTTTTTAAAGTAGCCGGATCTTCTTGTAAGTTTCAAAGTACAACAGTCCTTATTTTATGTTGTTATAAGTTTGTCGTTTTTATTCGGCTGCTTTTATGCCTAGAAAAATATTTTCAGCGAGTGCTACAAGAAATCCAGCTATGTATTGATGAATAGATACTTCCTCTCTCTTTCTCGTGTTTAAGACTTATTTTTAAGTGAGGTCGTAATTGTGTATGTGACTTTTACAGACAAACATAGTGACTTGCGACAAAAACATACTGACAGCCATTGCTCACTATGATAGCACTAAAACTTGTATGTCCCTTTGAGTAAAAGTTTCAGTTTTGCATTAAATTGAAGATCGATGTATTATGTTTGATTTTCCGAGTTTTCGTAGTTTTTCTTATTGAGACCTAGTAATTATGGCTTAAAACGTATTTCTATTTCGGATGGAGAAAAATTTTGTTTGCGCGTACAATCTGTGCATTCTCTTTCAAAGGCTGTATTACAATAACGAAAAAGTGTTCCAGGAAATTCATTTCAGAGTGGATACTTTGCTTATCATATAAAAGCTCAATGCCTTTTGTTTAGCAGATGGTTGTGTTTCTTGCATTAAATATCGGCTGAGAACTTACTCTTCTCTATAGTATTTGTAGCTGCGACAGCGTTTCGAACGACTGGTAGCTGTAAATTTGTTCCATTGTATTTTATTGTCAAAAGCAAGATGTGCGGAACCAACCGTGTAAAATTATTTCTTTGAATAATGGTCATACAAAACAATTTCTAAGTTCATATGGTCAATGTTGTTGTTTAATTTCTTTTCATTCACTACAACTAAATACAAGTGCTGTTGGCAATGCTCAGACGAACCTCGTACCGGGCTAGTTTTTGTGGCCATCGGCGGAACTCGATCAAAGCAAACAACATAAAGAGGCACTGCTACAGTTATCGATATTTTAGGACGCGTTTGCATAATATTTTAAGTTCCAATGTTTACCAAAACCATTAGAGTTGCATTCCACCGTTTGTTTAAACATCTGTTTATCTATTGAAGAGCTCTATTGAAGTTAAACTTATCTCTATTGATAAACTGTAGTCTTGTCTGGCAACCTATACAACAATATAACTTACATACTCTCATACTCAGCAACCCTCAAAAATCACCGAAGGTTCCTCATCAGAAATCAAGCGATCAAGCATGTCACATCTACGTTGGGTGTCAGATTTCTGTATGCACTGATAACCCAGAGGCAGGAAGTAGCTGTTGACTGGTGCTTCTCCAAATAGCTCTGGTAGCAGGTATTTTTCCCAATCCAGCTTTTGTCTTGGGTGTCGTGGCAGAGGAGTTGCACTGCTGGTATGTTTGTTTCCTATCTTAATGAAAATATCAACTAAAACATTAGCAACTCTAATATAAAATACTTGAGTTAAACCCAGCTAAACACATGGTTCTTTGGTGTGGTAAATACTGATCTAAAATTACACTGTTGTGCACTACTTCAAAAAATAGCTTTGATGGTTTCTTTCATCTGCTCCTCAGTTGCAGCAACTGTTGTATTGCGCCTTATTACAGAGTGCACATGTTCTACCATATACTCATCAATAGCACTCACACTGTTAAAATATAGTATGAAATATGAAATACGGATAATAGCTGTAGTAAGATTCAAATTGATTTGTCTTAGGCAAAACATTATATGAGGTTAGTATTAAAGGGCAATAATTATCCAAAACATTCAAAAAGGTTCCATACTGTCTTTTGACTCCTTGAAAACTGTCTTTACCATTCTTCTGATGAGGGTCCAACCACCATGTACCATTTCTAGGATAAACTGTATTCTCCATGGTTTAGGGTGATTTGCTAGATGTTTCCCAGGGAAAACTAATTCATAAATCTGTCTGAATAGTGGCAGGAAATTCAACATCAGGTCTTCATCTGAGTTTAAATCAATATGTAAAGGGCCAATCATTGGAATTATTGACA